GAAATTTGATCGGTACCTAATATATTAGACTTCAAATTTAATTAATGATAATTATCAAGTTTCCTAAATTAATGACAAGTAGTCAAAGTCATCGTTACAACCATATATTAATTAATATATATATATAAGTTAATTATATTGCCATTATGGCTTTGACTACTTGTTTTCAAATAGAAGTTTGTTTATTTGATTGTTTAATTACATGCAAATGAGTTACTTGTCATAGGTCATTTTGTGCTACGTAAACTAGTATTATGTAAGCTAATTAAGTTCAAATCTTTTGTGTAACTAATTTACAAGACAATAAGATTTGTAATAATAATATTACAAAGATTCTTTAAAAAAAAGAGAAATTAAATATCTTCCTATTTTTGTTCTTATAAATCATTCTATCCAATTAAATGATGACATGTGTCATATTAAATGAGCATTAAATGTTACATATATAGAAAGATTTGTAGAAATAAAAAATGGAAGGATATTTAATTTCTCTTAAAAAAATTAAACATGACACACGTATAGAAAATTATAAATACTCTTACCTATCCATTAACTCCATCCCAACAATTGAATAAATTCTTGAAAATCTCCGAAAAAGCGTTGTAAAAAGAATTAATAGATAAAACAGAAAACGTGCAAGGGACAAAAAAGTGATATCCGTGAATCCGTGAATGCATCAGGTACAACCCTCCACAGCATCAGTATTTAAGTCAAAAAGTACTATTACTATTTATTTGCAAAAGGTCATAAATATCCCTTGGGTCACGGATAAGCTTTGCCCTGCTTTTAGGACTAAGTTACTAACATCAGTACATCACCTTTGATTACTTTTCGTTTTTTCGAACTCATTCACGTTAAATTATATAAAACTATTTGAATATTTGTTTATTATGTTAAATAAAACTATACAGTTAAAATTTGATAAATAAATATTAAAAATAATTAAGTTATTAATATTATTTATAAAGTAACAATCTTTTATATTAATTTATTAGGGAAAATGGCGTATAGGCCCTATAATGTTTCTAGGGTTGACCCATTTAGCCACTTAACTTATTTTGTGGCTTAATAAGGGAACGAATTACTCTTTGTCGGGTCGATTAAGTCCTTATTTCAATTTTGAAGGGGTTAGCCGGTCATTTTAAGTCCACCTCCTTCTACTAACACCACATCGGATGCTGACTGTGACTTTCGTCTAATGACATGTCATTAAATTAGTCGCCTCCTTCTTAATGTCGGTATATGCTTTATAAAAGAGCCCTTTTACATCCACTGTTCAACACTTCATCGGTAAACCCTTTTTTGTGAGCTGCTTCTGAATCCTCAAGCATGGAACCCGTATTCTTACAAGTAGATGTCCACTTCCAAGGAATGTTCGCCAGAAACCCCATACGCTACACCGATGGAATTACTCAGAGGTTTTCGGACATCGATTTCGCAGGAATGGACAAGGATGGGTGTGTTGCGTTCATCGAAAGGTTCACTGGGGAAAAGTGTGAGAAGCTCTATTACTGCCAACCTGATATTGATTTTCCAAAAGGTTTGACTCTAATTTGCAATGACCCCGATTATTACGACTTCATAGCAATTGCATATGAATGTGGTGTTATACTCCCTATGTATGTAGACCATTTTGGGAATAGTAACATACAGGAATGGTTGGATGAACGCAAAGACGAGTTTGTTGGTAACGTTGAGGAAGAAGTACTTGATGGTGCAGGACTGGTTAAGGAAGTTGCACCAGGGCATCGGGATGAGGGTGACACAAACGATGAGGAAGAGAATGGCGACGATGATGACGACGAGGATGAGGATGTCGATGGCGATGAGGATGACCATCAGAAGCCTCATTTTTTTATAAAGGGTAATGAGATTCAGGTAGAGATGGGTGAGAAAGCAGGTGCAGGTGAGTTTTTCGAAGAAGACATGGGTGACAATGAAGATGTTTATCCCGAATTGCCAAACATTTTCAATGATAAGCTCAATTGGAAGGAGCATGAACCTGTTTTAGGTATGAGGTCTGAGAGTCCTAAGCAATTGAAACACATGCTTTGTAACTATGATGTCGCGAATGGTTATCAATTATGTTTTGTTAAGAATGATACTAGACGATTACTTGTCAAATGCTGTGATGGCAAATGTACTTTTAGGCTTTAGGGTTCTTGGATGAGTGAAGATAAGTCTTTCCAGATAAAAATCTCTTATCGGTGAGCATAATTGTGCAAAGAATTTAAAATTCGGATCAATTGTGACTTACAAATGGACAGGGACCCACTTTAAGCACCAATTTTATAACAATCAAAAGATGAGCGTCCGAATGCTTAGAGAGGAGGTAAAAACCGATTTTGGGATTAATGTGAGTATAAGTCAGTGTAGGAGAGCCAAGAAGTATGCATTGACTCTAGTTGAAGGGACAATAGCTGAGAATTATGCAAGATTATGGTCATATGGTGAGGAGATTAGAAGATCAAATCCTAGATCCACAGTTAAAATTTGTGTTGATTCAATGCCTGATGGTAAGAATTATTTCAGCAAAATATACATATGTTTTGCTTTAGCAAAAGAGGGATGGAGGGGAGGATGTAGGAGGATCATTAAACTGGATGGTTGTTTTCTGAAAACTTTTTGTCAAGGGGAGTTGGTTTGTGCTGTGGGTAGAGATGCTAACAATGGAATATTCCTGATTGCTTGGGCAGTTGTTTCTGTGGAAAACAAAGAGAATTGGAAATGGTTCTTAGAAACTCTTTCAGAAGATTTGCAATGTTGGAATGATGGTAATGGTTTGGTTCTAATTTCGGATCACTTCAAAACTACTGCATGTTCTAAATTTAGTTATTGCTATTTGAATTTCAAACATTAATGTGACTTATGTAGGGTTTGATTGAGGCAGTAAAGGAAGTATTTCCAGCAGCTGAACATAGGCAGTGTGCTAGACATATCTATGCGAATTTTAGAAAGAGATTTAGTGGATCCAAGTTTGAAAATCTGTTTTGGAAAGCAAGCAAGGCAACAACTGAAGCACAATTTAATGTAGTTATGAAAGAGATTGGAAAATTAAATCCGGAAGCAGTTGTGCATCTTATGGATAGAGATCCAAAGACTTGGTCTTTGGCTTTTTTCAGAGTTCATAATTTTTGTGAGTCAGTAGAGAATGGTTTTTCAGAGAGTTTTAATAGTGTGATTTTGGATGCCCGGAAGAAACCAATAATAAGCATGTTAGAGGACATTCGTATATATGTGATGCAAAGGATGGTGACTATGAAACTAACCGGACAAGGATGGAATGCTTATTCTGTTTGTCCAAATATCATAATACGGTTGAATATGCTCCAAACTGAGCAAAGGTTTATACATTTATCCAATTACATTAGTACTTTACTCTTCACATCTCATGATATTTGCGGTTTTCATCTATATATGTAGGCATTGGCACGTCATTTCTTGTGGGGGGATGAAGTTTGAGGCAAGGAAAATGGACGAGGCGTTTACTGTGGATGTTGAAAAAAAGGAATGCAGTTGCAGGCTATGGCAACTTAATGGATATGGTTGCGTACACTCAGTTGCCACCTTAGCCTACTTAAATTTGACACATGATGGTCCATATATAGATCCAATGTACTTGGTTGCATTATACCATAATACTTACAAACAGCCAATCCATGGGATGAATGGAAAAAATATGTGGCCTTCTACTAACTTGATACCCCCTTTGCCTCCATTGAAAAGAAGTATGCCAAGCAGGCCAACCATAAAGAGAAGAAGAGATGCTTCTGAACGGATGGGAAAACATACCGTCTCCAAGGCAGGGAAGAAATTTTCTTGTAGCATATGCAAGGAGAAAGGACACAACAAGGCTACTTGTAGTAAAGGTGTAGGGACATCCAAACAAAATGGAACAAAGAAACAAAAAACTATACCTACGCAGGAGTCTGTAAACGTTGACACAGGAGTAGGGGATGATGAGGTAATCGTAGATGCTACTGATGCTTTGGATAGGCCTGGAGATGAAGAGCGAATGGTGGGAGTCAATGGACGGGATGAAGGGGTGAATGTCAATGCTCGAGTTAAGCATGTTAAACCGCCTAAAATGCGAAAGAAATCAGAACGAATCATTAAACTGAAGCTTGCAAAAAATGTGGGAGGTGAAGGTAGCAGTGTTGCAACGGCCATGGATTTGGATTAAATAATTGTTTGTTATTTGTAGTGAATGTGTGTTGCAGTAAACAAATGATCTTTGTATGTTATTTTATGGTGTACTATGTTGTTTTGTTGTGTGGTAAGTTGTTATATGGTATGTTATTGTTGTCCCGTGCCACGAATATTTAAGGGTATTATGAGCATTTTAGCCATTACAAAGTAAATTGACCATTTATGATGTGGGGGCATTTGAGTTATTACAATTTAAATTTACCATTTTGGATGTGGGGGCATTTTAGTCATTAGAAATTAAATTTACCATTTTTGGATGTGGGGGCATTTTAGTCATTACAAATTATATTGACCATTTTTGGATGTGGGGGCATTTGAGTCATTACAATTTAAATTTACCATTTTGGATGTAGGGGCATTTTAGTAATTAGAAATTAAATTGACCATTTTGGATGTGGGGGTAATTAAGTCATTACAAAGTAAATTGACCATTTTTTAATGCAGGGGTAATTAAGTCATTGTAAAAAACAGGGTACTTGTGACTTAATCCATTCAACATGAAAAGGCCATCTTTAGAAAACTTGATTCCCTTTTTTTTTCCAAAAAAGGTTTGCAGACAAGCAGATATGGTTCAATCGTGTGCAAATGTATTTTTGTCCCTTTTCCCAAACTGCACCATTTGTGGTCCCTGTCTATGCGCATAAAGAAGGTATATTCATTTTGCTTTGGCTTGTGGTCCCGTCGCAGTCAATGAAACATATATAATACCCAAATGTTTCTTTCTTTCATGCACACATACAGATGCAGGTGTAAGACAATTTTTTTTTAATAATAACATATTAAAACACATTTTAGCCATGGGTTTGTTTACATCGCTTTCTGCTATTCAATAACCTATTACAGAGATCATCGACAAAAAACTTCATCAAAAAACGATGACCATCAGCAGCCCAAGCAACACCACCACCAAATCTACACACCAACATCACAAACTAATACCAGCAACCCACACAAAATCTACTACTAATATTGACACTAAACAACATAAATAACACACCAAAACACAAACCCAGGACTGAAATGCTTCAACCTACACAACATTTTTTTTACTTAAACACCAAAATACGTCACCACAGACGCAGAAACAACACCAACAATCCCAACACAATACATCAGCTTCTTACGTTTGTTGTCCTTGAAGACCATCTTCACATATGCTCCTTGTAGAGAAACGAAATGATTTTTAAGATCAGCAACCATATTTGAGATATCCAACTGACCAGTGCGAACGTCATCGACCTCAAGGTTCATGGCATCTAAGTGTCGATTAACTGCCTGACGGAGCTCACGCAACTGGTCTTGGAAGTCCTCCCGTATAATAGACAGTTCCAGCTGGGTTTACAGTAGATTGATGGCCATGTCTTCGTTGGTTACACCATTCGAATGATTCTCATCCATGTGACGACGGTAATTTGGAGACCAGCTGTGTTCTGCATGTCCGATCGAAGCCATTTTGGAGTAAACTTAGAGACGAGATTGGGGTAATGAAGTTTGCAGATGTGCCGTTTTAGGTCAAGGAAGTCTTGATTTTATATGGAGGCGCTTGAACAGTCGATCCTTGCTCCTTACGATTCGCCTTCAATACGACGTCGTTGCGGTTTGTTCGACGCTTTAAATTCTTGCCATGTCATCGCTTACGTGTTAGGCTAGGTTTATGTGGCAACGTTAACCGGCTACAATAGGTAAAAGGGATTATATTGTTAGGTAACAAATACTTCGTTCCCTTATTAAGCCGCAAAATAAGTTAAGTGACTAAATGGGTCAACCCTAGAAACATTATAGGGCCTATACGTCATTTTCCCAATTTATTATAACGACTTTAACCAAGATGTTGAATAGAATCCCCAAATGATCGAGGGTGGAAGTCATGTTATGAAAAAAAAATAAAAAAATAAATGTAAGATTTAAAGGGTATGTGTTCGATTCCAAATAAAAAAGATATTAGAATACTTTAATGAAGACTAAAAAATATAAACAAGGATTACATAATTATAATCAGATAACTAACTCTAAAAAGACTAATCTTGTTTTCACTATAAATAAATATTACACCCTGGTCATGAAAAAGACACATACCACATGAAATTAATGGGTAAAAGAAAATGGATATATTTTTCACTTTATAATTACTATATCATTCATAGTTACATACTCAAAAGATGATTGTTTACAAACACATTTTGGAATGTTCTTAAAATGCTTATGTTCCAATGATCTGAGCTTCGTCTCTGAACTTCTTGTAAATATCTCCATTGTAGAACTTTCGAGTTCTGATCACCAAAATCAACAAAGATAAACCACCAAAGCAACAAACGCAAGCCAATATGATAAAAGACGACCTGTAACAATGGTTGCCAATGCAAACCAACTCTTTAACTGCTGACCTATCTAATCCTTTCTTTGCAAGCTCCTTCAATGCTTCACGATCGTACAATGGCCCTGTAACCCTAACATTCAAGATGTATGATCCCAATGGGCTTCCCAATTGCCCGCAATTGAATAATGTTGAGTAGTATTTCAATCCGAAAAGCTCTGAAATGATGGCGAAGATTAAGGGCAGTTGTGCCCCAAATGAGAATCCAATGATGATGGAGGCGACGTAGACGGATCCCGGAATCGGAAAAGCAGTCAGGAGGAGGCCGACGCAGGAGAGGAAGAGTACAAGTGTGAACATTAGTGTTCTTGGGAATTTGTATCTCACCAGGAGGATTTCTGACACGAATCCGGCGAAGATCCGACCGAAATAATTCCAGATACTTAAAAGGGAAACGAATGACTTTATCGTCTTTGTAGGGTAACCTAGAGATTCGCCGATTTGACCTAAATTGTCTACTGCGGTTAAGCTTGTTCCAAGCCCACAAAAAGTTGCAACAAACAGAATTAACATGTCTGTGCTTAAAAGTGCTTGAAGAATACTGTAATCTTCTCCTCTTTCAGGCTTATTCAAGAACACATTAGCAAAACAAGATGTTTTCGCTTTTGGTTTTGGATTTGGATTATCCAGTTCCAATGATGTGGGATTTGTGGATTGATGTTCATGATTCTGATTCATATTCTCGATTTTAACTCGGGAACGATAACTGGTTGTTGTTTGTTTCTCATCCAGAGGTTCAATTCCTCTTTAATGGTCATAAAAAGGGGAACAAAGAGTACGAAAATTACCACAGAAGCACTACCAGCGTAAGCCCTTTGTGAAAACGTCACAATATTCCTAGCAATCGTCATCCCCATTATGAACAATGCTAGAAAAATCGAGACGCATAAGAAACGGTAGAAAATTCGGAGCTCATTCGGTTGTCTCACCAGGGTCATCGTTCGGATCGTGTACACAAAAACCACAGAAATCGCCGCCGGGAGCCAGGCAATCAACAGGATTAACGATTTCGAATCGTTCCCATAAATAGACAAGTAGATTTGAGTCATGATGGCTCCACTTAATCCTGTGAAACCTTTCAACAATCCGAGAACAACTCCCCTGATTTCCGGAAAATTACAGACGGTTGTCACCAACGCTCCGGTGTTTGCAAAGTTTTGTGAATTCGCTCCGATGCAAATGTATAACACATCTGCCAGACTTTAGGTTTCGCGATTCTGTTCGTGACAGCCAACCAAATCATGAAGTAACCGCCAAAATTCAACGCAGAGCCGAGTAAGAGCACGAACCATGTCGGAGTGACCTCCGCAATTAGGCCGGAAAGAACACCGACGTTGGCACCAAGGTCTTTGAAGAAGTCTAGGAGGTTGAGGGTGGTTTGATCGTAACCAAGGGAGGATTTGATGTCTTTGGAGTAGACGCCGAAGAGGTAAGTCGCTCCGGCTCCGGTCATGACTTTGATAGGTAACTGGGGTAGAGCTGACTTGGGGCAGAGCTGACTGAGTTAGATACTTAATGGGTTAGAAGTTCTGACTGAGTTAACTTCTGACTGAAAGTTAATGTTTGATTTTGTGTTTGATTTTGCATCTGACTGATAGTATAAAATGACTATATTACCCTCAGATAGTTTTTATAATAATTCCTTAATAATTTACCATTTAATTTATAACATTATATTTTTCTATAAAAACATTTGTTCTCTCATGTTTAAAGAAACAAAACTTGATTATAATCTCTCCACCAAATATAAAACTTATAAAAGCAAAATAGTTCATAGTATTCTTCACCAAACTATAAAAAAGAACAATCAATAGCATGGGTTTTTGAAAATTATAATGTAATAAAAAAAACATATTCAAAGAAACAAATGACACAAAAAAACAACAATTCCACTAATTATGAAAAGCAAGTATCCTATAAAATTAATCTCAAGCATGTGCATCCAGCAGCCTTCCAATTTGGTTGCAGGGGCTTTGAATTTGATCTCGAGTCTCACTACAAAAACAAAGAAACACACAGAAATCAATTACATATTTAAGAAACAGAGCACATAAATCATTACGTTTATGTGCAGCAAAAAACAAGCATGACTCTTTCAAAAAAAGCAAAGAACAAGCAGGAAACATAAATAGGCATTCCTTCTTTATCTACACCATGATACCCATGATGATAGTGTTCTAGAACTTTTTTCAGCTCATTGAACTCAAAACCCTCAAAGATATTGTCAATACCAAATGATTTTCTCCATTGAAGCATGTTAGCCCGCATATGTTTTGATTTTTCAATATAAAAGTTCCTAGCTTTTAAGAACCTGTACATGAGCACAAACATAAACACAAACATAAACATCATCACAAGCATGAGCATGAAAAACACCGATAAAAGATGAGAATGGAGTACCAACATAGAGAAACATGGAAAGTACCAACATGGATTAGATTTCACACATACATAAGATTTTTAACCAACATCCCACATGAAAAAAAAACAGAGAAATTCATATATATATATATATATATATATATATATATATATAATCTGATTTCACATATACATACATAATCTAATTTCACAAACAAAGAAATCCAACAGACTTTTCATCTGATTTTGTTCAAGCATTTTATCAAATAGCTAACGTGCATACCAAAATATTACACTGTGATGCTTCTAACTTGTACATAAAATTTCATACAACTCCAAATTAGAAGATATGAGGACAAGGAAAACATCTACGATAATAGATGGCAGAAAAATCGAACAAATAAATACATACCTGGAATAAAAATGGAATAAAAAAGGAGGAAAAAGATGGGTTTTTTCTTACCACAGGAAGGAGACCGGAGCTTAGGCGAGGCGCTCCAGGGAGGCGGCGGAGGAGCCAACACAGATGTTGGAGGTGGTAGGAGTTGTGGAAGAAATTGTGTCTGGGCAAGGAGAAGGAAGAAATCACGTCAAGGCTAAGAGAAGGAGAGGGCAACAATGAGGTGGCGACGCTCATGTTTGGTGGCCGGAGGCAGTTGGTGGTGTGGGGGAGGAAGTCGTTGGAATGGAGGTTATGGGTGTACGCGATGAAGAAGAAGGTGAGAAGAAGACGCCTGCAAAAGTAGGAGAAGGGCAAGGAGGGAAAAGGTGATGCTTGGTCTCGGTCAGCTCTATTCTATTAATGGACCGAATCAGGAAGTGGGTTAGCAAGGACTTACCGAGTCAGACGAAAATCACAAATATCAAACATGTTGACTGGACCGAGTCATCCAAAAGTGCAGACCCAGACCCAGTCAACAATATATCAAACACCCCCTAAGAAAGAAGCGAAAAGTGAGAACCAGCGGCCGCGGATTACATGGACGGCAAACGCAAGATTTTTGGCGCTACTGGCGACGGAACCGGAGGTGGTAGTTGAAGGCGCTTCCCCCATGTTTTAGGAATATTTTGGGATGGAAGACAGAAAGTGTGAGTGAGTGGTAGTTGAAGGTAGGGGTGTGCAAAAAACCGCACAAACCGTCCGCACAGCATAATGCGGTTTAGAATTTCGTGGTGCGGTTTGCGGTTCGTCATTTTATCAAACCGCACTATGCGGTGTGGTTTGCGGTTTGTATTTATAAAATCGCGGTTCAAACCGCACCGCACCGCATGTTATATATATATATATATATATATATATATATATTATATATATATATATATATATATATATATATTATATATATATATATATATATATATATATAAAATCGCGGTTCAAACCGCATGTTATATATATATATATATATATATATATATATATATATATCTATATATATATATATATATATTCTTTACTTTGTTATAACTTCAAATCACGATTTAAAAACAATGTATTTAAATATATTTTTTACAATAATCAAATATCTATAACGTAACATTAAATCACTATTAGATCAAGATCCCACGGTTTACAAGAATATAACAACTATAACGGTAATATAAAACAATAACAGTGACACCTACAAAACTATAGTAGCATGAATCACAATTTATTAAAAACGTTTAACTTGAAAATTGTATTTGTTTTTATAAAATAAAAGTAATCAATTTTTTTAACCGGGTTAGTTTTTTGGTTTTTTGATAGATTTAATGTTGAACAACTCATCAAACCGCAACCAAACCGCATAAACCGCCCGCATCAAACCGAACCGCATAACGCGGTTTTGAACATCTGTGGTACGATTTGCGGTTTCTAAAATATTCAAACCGCATATGCGGTGCGGTTTGCGGTTTTGACTCTAAACCGCACCAAACCGTACCGCGCACACCCCTAGTTGAAGGTGCTTCCCCTATGTTTTAGGAATATTTTGGGATGGAAGACGGAAAGTGTGAGTGAGCAGGGAAGAGTGGGGAGTTTTTTTTAAAGGTAGGTTAGTTTCCAAAAATATCGTAGAAATAGGTTAGTTTTAGAATGTGTCGTAGCAACAAACTTTTTTTAGTTGGGCCCACTATTTGTATGTATATTTATGGTTCATTCGACAAATGATATATATATTTTCAAGTATCACCCCTTAAGTTTCATTACTTTTCTATTAATTATATCTTTCATTGATTAATTCAAAATTTTACATTCATTATATATTATACATAGATATTTATTATAAAATATATAATTATAATTTATGCATTATTCTTAAGTAGTTATACCATTAAATGAATAATACAAATATCTTCAAATAGATACTAATATTGAAATATATTACGTCGGAAAATTAACATATCAACTATAAACGATAGTGGCCAATGGAAAGATTTACATGTTTGCATGCAATTGCAGTTTGCGGTTATAGAGGGGATAACCCTCTTTCTATTGTTAATAATGTGTACACTATTATGACGTATAAACAACAATATACGTCGGCTTTTGTCCCACTTTCTCATGTTGATTATTGGTTGGAGTCGGATTGGAAGATTAAAGCAGATAACTCGAAACTTTATGTGCATAGAGGCCGGAGGCGTGCAAATCGATTTCATAACGAGATGTACATTCGTCATCCCGACGAACCTCGCAAATGTAGACTATGTCACCAAACTGGTCATAATAGAAGAAATTGTCCAAATTCCCAGCCAAGATTCAATGCGACGTGAACTTTGTAACATTTTCAATTAATGATGAAGTTACCGTTTAACTTGTATTGTAATTTTACGCTTAGTTCGTATTGTAATATCGTTTTTAATTGTTCTTGTAATTTCGTAATGTTGTAATATATTCAATATTGGTATCTATTTGAAGGTCTTTATAAGCTCTACTTAAAGGTATAATTTGTAAATAATAGTACATAAGATATAATCATATATTATGGAATAAAGTAATCTATGTATAATATTTAATAAGGGTAAAAAATGAATTTTTCAATTGTAAAAAATATAAATAAAAAAAGATTAAAGTTGAAGGGTTAGATTCATAACATGTAAGGGTTAAAAATGAAAATATATATTTATTTTTGGGAAAGAAGGATTGGAAAGATAACAATGGTGGGTCGTTATTCAAACCAACCTATTTCTACAACTTATTATAAAAATAACCTATTTCTACATTCTCTTTTAAAAACCAACCTACTTTTACAAAATAACTCGAAGAGTGGGAGTTATAGAGATACATATAGAAAGGATATTGTTTTAAGATTTACATGGGTTGGTTGTAGGGTTGTTTGGATCATCTATTTAATACTATATTTATTTTATTTTTGAAAAGTATTAATAAACATAAATATATATAATTTTGTGTATGTGTTTTTATGATTTATATTCAAATTATATACATTAGTACGTAATTACGATAAAATCTACTTTAATAAATGAAGGTTTTTGCCACATGTCCTTTCCTCCTTCATTTGGACACATGGCATTTTCTAAAATTTTTAAATTTTCTATTTTCCACTTGTCATTTTATTGTATTTTTCATTTTATTAAATTAAAATTTCACATTTAATATGTAAAGTAATATATATGTAAGATATTTATTAGAAAGGTTTATATATGTAATTTATTCAATACATTAAAGTCTAATTAATTTTAATAATTC